TTAAGGGTGTTTGGGCAGAAGAACTCGCCTTGCCGTGTCTTGTTCCCCACCGCTCGCTCCAGACATGTCAACTAAACTGCCCGCTGAGGAGATGGAGAATGTTACTGAAGGTCTCTTGTCCAAAATGTTGTTAGAGCCACTACAGCTTTTAGTTCTGAAAAGTTTACTCAGGCGAATTTTAAGCGAGCCCTTCCTGGATTTCCCTGGTACTTTCAGAGTCTTCTCTCCTCCGCTCGCAGCGGAAAGATGCGCCCGGGTCGTGCTCCTGTCCGGCCGGGCCTTCGGTGTGGACGCCTGGCTAGAGCACGGGGTGTTCTGGCTGGGTTCGGCTTGGGACAGGACCTCGGGAGTCAGTTTGTCGCTGGTAGGAGCCTGAGGCCTGATGTTTACCGAGTCTCGTAACAAACAACACGCCGGCGAGCAAAGTCTCCCGGACACCCCCATAGCTTGTCCGGACAGCACCGACGGGAAACACTTGAGAGCAAACGCACCCGGCTCAGCGTTCTGAGACTCGGCCTTCTGACAGGCATTGATGCCCAGGCCGTTCACCTCTTCTGACCCGAGGCCCTCCAGCACCAGCAGCGCATCACTGGTCTCGGTCGGGTCCTCTCCCTGTCTGATTCCAGCCGAGCCGAGCACGCTTTGACACGAGCAATGCTGCAGCTCGCCATCCTTGAGCAGAAACTCGGGTACCGGAGCGACTCCCAGCTCGCCGAATTTCCTCGCCAGCTCCAGCACAGGACCGTCGGGCAGCTGGAGCTGCCGCTGCGCCGTCGTCGAGCTCGTTTTGTGATCCACCACCGGCGGCCAGTCTTGTTTGTCTGTGATCAAGCGATGCCGGAGGCACAACTCGGCTCCATCCGTATCCGTAGCAACCGCAGGCAGCTTGAGCTGTGGATGCAGCGTCCATGTAGGCGGATGTTGAGCGTCCACAGCGCCAGGCTCGGAAGCGAGTACCGCTTGGTCCTCAAAAGCCCTGCGATGATCCTCCGAGTTGTTCTCGGCAAATCCTTCAGAGTCTCTCGATATGTTTCTGAATACCAACAGCTGAGGCCCCATTCCACCTCGGTGGGTGAGATCGTACCCGTGGGCCTCGGCTGAATGAAGAAGAGGAGGCGGCACAGACAGCGCAGGTCTAGTCGCCATCACTCCCGCGTCAGGTGCCTCCGTTCCGCTGGCCTGCGGAGCTTTGTTCACCGCCGAGATGTGGCCGTGATTCTGCGTGCATTCAAAGTTCCCCTTGATAGCCACCGCCAGTCCAGTGCCCGACGACAGATTCCCATTCTCCTCGTCCAAGCGGTCATCCTCGGCCGCGGAGACCAGGCGCATCAAGACAAAATCGGGAGACATATCTTGCGCGTTGTTCATTATTATTCCTCAATATACTGAAGGAATGAGCGATATCAGCGTTTCACATTGCTCCAGTCATGAGATCTCGCTTGTGTGATGATGATGGTAAATCCTCCTGGTGTTTCTTAGCCCCCTCACTCAGCGCCAGACAATTAGTGCATATAAACTCTATTTCAGTCGCTCCTTCAACATTGCGCACGTCCTCGTCTCATTTCGCGTCCGGCCTTAAAAATCTCCACGGGTCTTTGTAGGGTCATACATAACGCTTCGTTTCACGCAATCCTAAAGGCGACTGTGGTCACATTACTGTCGAGGCCCCACCCGCCCGCTCACTTCCGCAAATTCGATGCGTTTCGTGTTTGGTCTTATCGGTGCCATTGCTGTCCACTTGGCTGCAGGCTATGTGCTGCCCCCCTTAGTGACGTGCACCGTGCTGTAATGTTGCTTTCATGTCATTTACCGTGCTGTTGTCTGGAAGATGGCCTTACCAACTGATGTTTATGATACATAAATTGTTGTGGCATCGCCGTTCCTCACGATCGAAACTCTCCCTGCAAATCGGTTGCGTTTTGAGTCAAATACAAATGACTTGCATGATATCATTATTTGAATAATGACTCTCATCCTCATATACTAAAAATGTAAAGCATTATGTCAAACACAAGGCCTATAATAGAACCAAGAGAGAGAATTCCATAATGATGGACATTATATTATGTAGCATGTATAAAATATAACTTATTTAAACAAAAAAAAGCATTATTTTTATATTATTTATTTTCCTATTATTGACCAACAAGGTTTATAGGGATGTAAATTGTAGCCTTTTTATTTAATGCTGCCCCCCTTAGTGACGTGCACCGTGCTGTAATGTTGCTTTCATGTCATTTACCGTGCTGTTGTCTGGAAGATGGCCTTACCAACTGATGTTTATGATACATCAATTGTTGTGGCATCGCCGTTCCGCACGATCGAAACTCTCCCTGCAAATCGGTTGCGTTTTGAGTCAAATACAAATGACTTGCATGATATCATTATTTGAATAATGACTCTCATCCTCATATACTAAAAATGTAAAGCATTATGTCAAACACAAGGCCTATAATAGAACCAAGAGAGAGAATTCCATAATGATGGACATTATATTATGTAGCATGTATAAAATATAACTTATTTAAACAAAAAAAAAGCATTATTTTTATATTATTTATTTTCCTATTATTGACCAACAAGGTTTATAGGGATGTAAATGGTAGCCTTTTTATTTAATGCATTTAAATTAATATGTTATAATAATTTGGAAAGAATTAGCAAAATGATGTTTAGTTTTATATATAACATAGCATGACAAACTGCAGGACACAACAACTTTCCAAAAGTATTTCATGTCACCTACGCCTATAGATATTTTAAAATCACCGTACGGTATGTATATGCATATTAAAAGGCATATAGAGATAAAATACAGTTAATGTTTACATTCTCCCATTGTTCTGCGGTCAAGACTTTTCATTTGCGCCGTATTTGTGAAATGCAATTTCATTGATGGACCGAATGATGTCGCTGTACACAAACATTTACACATGCCCATAGAGCCCTTTAAAACCTGCCATCTCACATCACAAAGAGCGGATTTTATTAGTTATGGAAAATGTGTTTTCACAGTATGTTATCAGAGAAATATTACATACATTGACAACATCCTCTCCCATTAAATGCACACAATATTGTTGATAATACCTGAACACACCACACACATATTCATCCATAAAAACCATTTACACAGTTTAGGTATTGACAACTGTGTGCATGCATATAGATGCACATATAAGTGTATAAAGGGATACACACAGCCACCTCTGCAGTCCTGAGTGGGGGTGGGGCCCCACAGGAATGAGAGTTGAATCTCAGAACCCTGTTGCCATGGCACCAAAACAAGGATTCGCCTGCATTAACCAGTATGACTGGATTTGTCTGAATCATCTTTCTCTCTCTCTCTCTCTCTCACACACACACAGACACACACACACACACACACACACACACAGACACACAGACACACACACACAGACACACACACACACACACACACACACACAGACACACAGACACACACACACAGACACACACACACACACACACACACACACACACCTGTCAGACGTTCATTCATGTAGTACACATGTGGAGCATGTTTTCTTCTTCCTTTACTTTTTTAATTTCCCTGATTGTTGCACAAAACGTTGGCAGTTCAAAACGCAATTTGTCTTTCAGAGATTAACATTTCAGTGCACTTTATCTGCCAAGCAGATGCAGACTTGTAAACCTCTGCATGCACATATTCACAGATGCACAAAGTCGCACACACATACACAGTCCATAAAAGACCACTCATGACTGACCCAGTCGGAGCGTGTTGGGTTAATCCACAAAGCGGTGAGATTCTGATACATACCCCAACAGAGAGGATTACCCTCCCATCCTCTCATCCATCAGCCCAACCTCATGCACATACACTCATCATAACAATCCAACATTAACAGATGTGCCACTCTCAGCACTCGACACTACTGGGAGATTGGGAGAGGGAGCGAGAGAGATGGGTGAGAGGAAGAGATTTAAAGGAGGGCTGGAGAGTAAGTGAAGAGGTAAGCAGAGAGCGAAACGGGGTATTCCGCATGTTGTCGGTTTCTTGTTATCTCTGTTTCTCACTCCAGTTTCTTGCAGGCCGATTAACTCCACACTGGCTGGAGATCAAAGTCTTCGTGGTCTCAGCAGCATCCCATCTAGGATGGACCTGACCAACTGACTGCAGGAGTTTTAGCGCTGGCTCCTCTTTGAGCTTTGAAAATGAGTAGTGCTTGTCAGTCTGTGTATGAATGCACACTTTTTTGTGTGTGAAATCAAGATGCTGTTGGCAGCAAAGTGAGGTTGCACTCTAACTATCACCACTAACACCTGTCAATCGGTTAACAAAAAGAGGAGAGGAGAAACAAAGCCAGGTATAGAGAAGACATGGAGGCCTGCACTTTGAAAGCATCTTTCAGGATGTGAGAAAACACGAATCTGATCTATTCCTTCACAAAAAGCATTGGAGGAGCAGTTGCTATAAGGATGGGCCGGTGTGCTGGTCTGCTGCCTCTACTGCTGCTACTTCCTAGCCTGCTTTCTGCTCAGCTCACCACTGTGTCTGAACTTGAGGACACCTCCAGCTTGGAGTTCACCCCAACTCCTTGTCTTACTGACCCAAATACCACAGCAGGGAAGAGCTTGTCTTCTAGTGCTCTACCCACCAGTCCGGCTCCAGTAAAAGTGAGCACAGAGGAGGACCGGTCTGCCACAGAGAACTACCTCTACACTGGCAATTTATCCTCTTTGGCTGCCTCTACCTGTACATGGAGTTTCCAGCTGCCTGTTCAATTGGGATCTCCACCTAGAGACCTTCTCCCTCTCTTGCACCAAGCCATAGCGTCTCTGACCAATGCTGCCAACTTTCTCAACCTGATATTCCAAGCCAGTGAGCTGAGAGTAACGAGTGTACGAGAGGATATCGAGTGGTACCATGCACTGGTGCGGGCCATGCTCGAAGGGGACAGGCCAAGCCTGGTCAGACGAGCTTTTCTAACATTCGACGCTGACCCCACGATCCAACGGCCCCAACTGGTGCTCCGTGCCTCCAAAGGCACAACCCAGGACATTCTCCTGCAGGACCTGACATCTGCCTGGAGCAGCTTCCGTCCTCCGGCTCCTGACCAAAGCTGGTTTGATACGTTTAAGTCTAGCTCTCCACCCCACCATGCCTTATCTAAACGGGTTCTTCTAAATGACTTAAGCACCCTAGACACTCCCAAGTGGGCACGTGGGGATAGTTATGTGATCAATAGCAGCGGGGTTCAGTGGGGTGAAGCCCCTTTTCTTGAGTGCGTTGATGGCCGTTTTTTGCCAGGGTGGTTACTCAGTCTCTCAATGCCATTTTATGGGTTGAAGCCAGACCTCAGCCCAGAGTTCAGGTCAGTGCACTTTCTTCTCGAAGTGGTTTCTCATTTTTGTGTGCTCAAGTTTTTGTACTAATAACGTCTTTCAAAACATCTCTTTCTCTTGAAGGGACAGTTCACCTAAAAACGGACATTCTTTCAATCATTTATTCATTATTCACCTTGATTACTTTCTGTTGAATACAAAAGATTAACTGTTTTTGTCCATACAATGAATAGGAACCATTCTAAAAAGTAACCCCTGACTTTCATGTTATGGACAAAAAAAATATATCTTCTTTTGTATTTCACAGAAGAAAGGAAGTCGTCGGGTTTGGAATGACACAACATTCATTACCCATGTTAATTTTTGGGTGAATTATTCAATTAATTGCATTACTTCTTTCAAGTCTTCCATCATTACTGCTATTTTGTTGTCATTACTGTATCTTTGTTGTCTCTCGGTTGGTAGGGGTGTGATCCGTGTCGACGTCAACATCCAGGGATTCAATTTGGATCAGTGTGCCAATGGAGACTTCTGGTTTGCAAACACACATCAATGTAATCGGACCAGCATGGAGGTGAGTGTACACTGACCTCAGATTAAATTTTTCCATATAGGACTTACAGCAGGGACCTCACTGGGCTTAATTCCAATGTCAAGTCTACTTTACAATAAGGCTCCATTTCTTAACATTATTTAAAGGGATATAGTAAAAATGAAAACTCGGTCATCACTTACTTACTCTCACGTCATTCCAAACCTTTAAGACTTTCTTTTTTCTGCGGAACATAAAAATATATATTTTGAAGAATGTATCAGTGTTTAGGTGCCAATATAGTATTAGTATATTTAGAAATTAACATAACATAGATTAATAAAATGCTGTAGGATTGTTAGTTCATCGTGTTTTCAGTCATAAAAGTTGTTGTTACATTGTACACTCTTCTATACATGGTCAGGATGAAATGTTAGTATTGCTTGGAATAAGAAACACAGAGAAACTTTAACCCACAATGAATACAACAATATATTAAAGGCTGTTTGTGCTTGGGTGGATTTCACTTACCAGGGCCAAGCAGGGCCAAAACACTTTCAGAGATCCACTCAGAACTCTTGCCACTAAATTGGATTAACTATTCTTTTAACTTTAAAACTACACACTATTTTATAATGCCTGTTGCCTTCAGATTTGGCATCTCTCTGGATATTAAGTTTGAAATCTGTCTATGCATCACCTGCTTTACTTTTTAATTTTTCTGGACTGTTATATACGTTTTCCATTTCCTGTTTTCCATCATCATCCTCCCACTTTCATCCAGACCTTCTATTTAAAGATGTGAGCACTGGGTGCAGGATGATTTGAAGGATTAGGCTGATAATCCTGTGATGCTCACACACCACAAAACCCCCACCCAACTCTGA